AAGGACAGGATAGGACAAGGAAGAAGTAGGGAAGATCGCGCGTGGTCCGTGGCGCGATTGTAGGAGTACTGCTCCGGTATTCGCCTGATGTCGGTTAATAAGGTACGATGGGGCACGGGCAAGGGGTGTCGCAGTAGCACTGAGTATAGGGGCTGGATGGGTAGGTCGATAGGGTTTGCGGGGGAGGCGAGCGAAGAGTTGGACGGGAGAAATCCAGTGGAAAGGACTGGATGGGCGAAGGGGTGTGCAGCCATTGCAGGACGGAGGATGCCAACGGGAAAGACAGGCAAGTCTTTTTAACGGCGGACAAGATTGACAGTTCAGTATCTGGAAAATGAAGAGTGAAGAGTAATTTACTCAAGGAAAATTAGATTTTTTTATTACATGTATTTTTAAGGAAGGAGTAAGGTACGTTACTAACAAGCACAAACATGGGGAATATCAGCATTTCCACCACGGATTGGTGGGAAACAAAATCAATGAGATGGAGCATACAGCTTCGAGTTCCTCGATGCTAAATGTCAAGTTACAATTTAGTTTAAGATTCATTACATTTTACACAGTGTTTCAAAGTCTATAACAATTTACAAGTCTATTAAACAAAATTTGCGAACAACGACAGTACACAAAGCATTTAAAGGTATACAAAAAATATCCAAAGTAAATATATAACAACTTGAATCATGCAACATGAAATTATCCATAATCAGTGTACAAATACATCGATTTAAAACCAATTTTTCAAAATATCACAGTTTGAAAGAAATGTTTACAGTTATACAATTTTTCTTTTTACATTTGCTGGAGAAACGTTACTTCGCTCGAGATTACACAATGTATTACAACCTTTCCTCTCTTTCCAAAATTACATCTGGTAGTACCCAGTAGTGGTGGAACATTAAAACGTATTACTAAAACCAAGAGTAATTGGAGGGAAGGGAAGAAGGTGAGGAGCGGTCGCCCTATTCCAAATATTTTCATTTTTATTATCAACAGTTCAAAAAGCTGAAGTAAATGGTAATACAACACACTTAATACGTTTTAAAATATTTGGATCACTATCGAATAATTGGGAATGCAATGGATAGGGATTTTTTTAAAAATAACATCAAAGTATAATACGAAAAATATTTTCTTTGTCCTTGGTCAAGAAATTCAGGATTTCTCTGACGTAGAACCAAGATGAGAAGCGTAAGATTTTACATCTCCCAAACGACGTTGCTGACGAATGGAACTCCAGTTATACGCCCCCGCGTGGAAACGAAGTTAGGCCACGGGCCACTATATTCTTACGGAAAAAAACTGTTCCTCCAGAACCGTTAGCAACGTCAGTTCAAAGAAAAGGTCAGAGTAAGTTTATCAGAAATAAGTCCTATAACTAATTTTCGGAAATATTGTTTAAAATTTGTATGTTTCGTGAATCTATGGAACTTATATCGACTAGTTTTTCTTGGTACCACTTTCTAACGTGTTATTATTGCGAACACTAATTTATCACAAACTCGTTGCTCATACACTCAATCGAAACACTGAATATAAATTCGCTAAAATACAAAAAATTCCAATATTTCGAATGTATTTCTTTCATTGCAGTTTTTTTCACGTATTCAGATCAAGTTTAATCCTTCGTCACATACTATATTCTTCGGTACTGCCTTATCAATAACTAGTAAAATTTCAGCACCAAATACACATGTAATGAAGTTTCAGAGTTTTGACCACTTAATATGTGAAACTACGCTTCCTAGAAATATACCATCTGACAGTTTATTTTGTAAACCTTGTGCGTTTCACAAGTAAATTACAACACATAATGAAACCTTAATAGATAAAAAGTAGATCATTCCTGATTCAGAGAACATGTGTAAAAAAAACAATTTTCCATTATTCCTTCAATTTTCGAAATATATTGAAAGAATCTATATTTGAGACATGTTTAAAACAACAAAAAAATTAAATACTTTTTCTTTAGACTATTTTGTACACATTGTCACGTAAACGGTAAAGTAAGTTTAACACTACCATTATTAATCCTTAGAAAGCATTTTGTTCTCAATCAAATTGCACATTTTGAAGTATCACCTGTTGCAAAGAACAATGTCTACTTTCATTCATGTACACATCGCTGCGAGAATATACCTTAGTGTGAATAACACAGATTTGGGGAAAACCTCATTCCAAAATGCCTAGTTGGCTATGACATTGCATTTTACGCAATGTGTTGTAACGTAGCCTTAAAAACTAGTTTCATAATACAAATACGTTGTGTTCAAAATTATAGACATTTTAAATCATGTAATCATCTTTAGAAATATATACCCTTGTCATTTAACACGCAAATATTTCGAACATAGAAACTCTAGTACTTTGTAGTTCTCGTTTCCATAACCAAATAACACACAGTATCCCATTGCGAGTACTGGTGGAAGACGTAGAGTAGGATAGATTTTGTTTCCTTTGCTAATATTCAATATCGTAGTAAAACCTATTGACGCATTGACCATTATACACAGATTACGCTTTCTTGCGTGAGTGTGAAATCTTTTCGATTGTGTACCAAAGACAAATCCACCAGTTGTCTATTGTGTACCAAAGAGAAAAACCATCGTATTGAATACCAAAAACAAATACACCAGTTGGTACTTGCGAAACGTTGCTTCAGAACTCCTACATTATTACCACCTTTTCAACGAGCAATACGTACGTATTATATAAATGCACTCTTTTCTCCTTAGACTAATTCATATCAACATTCGTTGATTATATAAAAATCACGAAACATTCAATTCTGTAGCATAGACTGCAAACCAGTTGACACCTGCGGATATTTTCTTTTAATTTCTACAAAAAAGTACAACACTTTTTAACCAACATTATGAACTTATTCTATACATGCCACTCATTTCTCTTCAATACACTTCATTTTAATTCATGTTGATATCCGTTGACAATTATAAGATCACGTTTTCTTGACCTAGTATTAAACCCTTTCGTCTGTTGCATAGGCCGACGACAAATGTACACCTGTTTTTACCTGCGAATCGTCGTTTGATTTTTCTACGAGTACCACATTTTGTAACCAACAATAACTTTTTTCCATGCACACTCATTACGTTTCATTACACTTACATTTTAATTCAGGTTGATATTCGTTGACCTTTACAGAAGATTACCTGTTCTCGTGTCAGTTCGCAACAAAATTAAAAGGGTTGCATAGACCGAACACTAACAGTTCGCATCTGCGAACTTGCGTCATTTTATTAGTCTAAAAAGCAACACTTAATACCAGCACGCATACACACATTACCTTCATTACGACTTCTTTTATTATGCGTTCGTCGCCGATTTCATTGGTGACCCGCGAACCAACGAAGTGTGTGGAGCCGATGGTTCCAGTTTCATACAATGCGTGGGCGTTTTGAAAATAAGATTGTAGCGCCGTTGGCTAGTCATACCACGACGTATTTCTTCCGAACCATCATCCCATTCACTATTGTACACACTAAAGGGTCACAACTCTCATACCCGACTAGTTGCTTTTAGGTGTAAAGTAACTTTCGACGAAGTCACTAACTGTGGGTTCAAAACCCGGGTTAGCAACGGGTGTTTTAACCTTTAAACGATAGCATCTTCCTCCTCTCATCATTGCATACTTACCTGAATATCATCCTTTGCATGATTCTTGATGAATATTCATAAGCACCTTTCCAACCGTGATTGTTCCATCCAAAATCAAGTTGCAATCCAAAAGCATCTTCCCCAACATACCGAGACAAAGAAACACCACCACTAAGCATCTGCCTCGGAAAGGATGACAAAGACCAGCATCAGATCAATACTCTGTAGAGAGTAATTCACACTCGTTACCATCTGTATCATTCGTTTGCAGTAGCTTGCACAAGATAGCACAACATTTGCATTTTTACTGTGCAACCTATCACGCGTTCTGTGGAGGTACCGCCTTACCCTTACATTTTTACTTTTAACTACTCACAAAACCCCGTTCTACAAACTTGCACTTTTGAATCTACACAAGATGGTTTGAGCCTAACCATCATAACTACACGATTTCACCGTTTACACACTTAACTGAAGAGTTTTTAGGCCATATATTTAACATGTTTATATCTGTTTGTAATGGAATCCATCTTCTAGAGAGAATGCAGCATCAGTTGCCGGTTCCACGAGGAAAGATTGCTGGGGCAAACGAAGACACTTCTTAGAGGACTGCGAACAAACCATGCTGGTGGAGTACCTGCAGAATAACCCGTAAGGCACCGATGAAGTATTTTTACAACTTATCTTATTTCGCATATAATCTCAGAACAATTAAATTTGCTGCGAGCTAAAAGCGAGTTTACTATATTCTCGATGCGATGAGCGTGAAAACATTCTTTTGCCTTGTTAATGTCCCTAAATCTAAACCAATTTGAAACTACTATTTACATGGATCGCACGGTAGTCTACAAAGATTAGTAGGTCATATACTGCGCACATTAATTTCGTGCTTACATATGACATTTCTTTTTTCACAAATTTTGAGTTATCGGTTACGTTAAAATGGCATCTTATTTCGTCTATGAAGTTTAAATCATGACAAAAGATTCAAAAGTTTTAAAAAAT